ATGTTATCTGGCACTATATATCGAACAACACTATTTAGAAATTCATGATTCAGGTCGTGGTTGGAGCTACGTAATATGAATGGGGACCCTCTACTAATACAATGTTGATTTCAATGATCCATCATGAATCTTATGATTATGTGTCGTGTTTTCAAGCTGGAGGACACAAGCTACATTTTGGATGCGAGGAGTTTTGTCTTATATACGATCTTCGGTTTAGCAGTGTTACATGGATAGATAAGAATAATATTTTTCTAGTTTAAGACACGATGTTTCGTCAACAAAATTTTACTGATCTCATATATATTAAGGATTTACTTGACATGTTTAAGAGCTTGAGGTTTCACAATGAACGTAAGTCTTGCAACACCAGACCTTTAAATATGTCCTCACTCCATATTTCAAAGGGTGTTTGGAAACCTTTTTTTTTGGTACAATGTTTAGGACTCCTGTAGCATTCTCCATGAATTACCCTATAAATTGATTGGAAGTATAGTGCAACTCATCATGAATCGAACCATAATCAATAATATTCTGTTACTCCTCTCGGCTACACCATTGTGTTGTGATGTCTCAAGTGGTGTCAATTGTGAGATAATCTCACAATTCCTCAAATAATTGTAGAATTCCTGACTAATGAGTTGTTTGGCAACCTCTGAATGACTTTGTCGAATGATGAAAATGACCATTTTAACCTTCTAAACTGTTTTGTTTTGAGTGAAATGTCTTTGTCTGATCTGAATAAGTTCGTTGAATAATTATATAAAAAGTTACAAAATATCACACAAAATTCAAATTAAACATAAATCCTAAATTTTTATCAAAATGTTATTACTCAAGTTAATTTATTTGACCAAATAAAAAGCCATATGATTGTGGACAAAAACCGATTGAATATAAGCTATAATGGTAAAATAAATAACTTTGGTAATATGCTTTATTATTATTTTTTTTTTTGTGGTTTTGCTCTTTGTATTATACGATTATATCTTATGTAGTTATATTTGTCCATTTTAAGATAGAGATATTTGCGTTCTATTTATTCTTTAAGTTGATATAAATAATGGAACTCACAATCATATTTTTATTCTGTAAAAACAACTAGAATCACCAACCTCTTCATTAATATACACATACATCAATCGAAAGATTACACAACAAAATTTACAAAGGTAAAAGCTACAAGTTCTTGCCATCTTTCCATAATTTTTTACAACTCAAATCCATTTGTAAAATCAACAAATATAATCTCCACTAAAAACAAGCTTATAAATTATAATCAACATAACTTATAGCTCACATTTGGTGCTCATGCTCCACCATGTCTTATCTATGTGGCTCTGCCACTCTCCAAATAACCCAAACGCTGAGTAGAGACTCGAGATAGAATAGCCCTAAAACCGAAAAAGTAGAAGATCTATGCATAATAATCATAATTAGTACTAAAATAACAAACTTTATATTGATAAAAGTTGCATAAAAACTCATCCTAACTAAAGCTTGATCACATACAAGAACAACAACCGGTACGCATTCCTATGTTCAATGAAAGGCACATTTGTTACATAAGACCATACGGTATACTCTCAACGAGAGCATCCGTGGTCCATGTGGCCACGAGAAAAATTCGTGCACACCACCCTGACAAATCGTGGTCGGGCGTGGTCGTTGTCCTTCGTGTTCCCGACGACGAGTTTAAACGCAAAAGGTGATTGGTGATTGCTTTTCTCGACCGTTGAACGGCCATTTGGCCTTTTTTTTTTCAAACTCAATTCAATACACATAAATAAACCTTCTATTTTCACCAAAACTTACACCTTCATTCTCTAAAACCACAAAACACAAGCACATGGAATTCTTAAAAACTTTTGACTCGGATGACGACGAAGAATTCGTCGAGACATTCTTCAACGTTGTGCAACACATTCACGACGAAGAAAGTTCGAATGTTGCTCGTCCAAGGGCGGTCGTCAATCGTGATCGTCAAGCCGCACACGACTTATTGGTACGTGATTACTTTGCCGATAATTGTCTTTATAATGACGACTCGTTCGAACGTCGTTTCCGTCTGAATAAGACTATATTTTTACGTATTAGTAATGCTTTAGAATCTCGTTATGATTTTTTCAAACAAAAACCCGACGCTAGAGGAAGAATGAGTTTTAGTAGTATACAAAAATGTGCGGATGCTCTTAGGTATTTGGGATTCGATATAGCATTTGATGCATCTGACGAATACTTGAAAGTATCCGAGAGGACCGCAATTGAATGTGTAGATTGGTTTTTTGCATGTGTGTATGAGGTTTTTCACGAACAATATTTGCGCAAACTTACTCAACGTGATATTGAGAGATTATATTCGGCTCATGAAGAGAGGCATGGATTTCCGGGTATGCTTGGCAGTCTAGATTGTACGCATGTGGCTTGGGAAAAATGTCCAAATGCATGGCGTGGTCAGTTCACTCGAGGAGATATAGGTGAACCAACTATCATCCTAGAAGCTGTTGCATCTCAAGATTTGTGGATATGACATGCCTTTTTCGGGGTAGCGGGGTCTAACAACGACATTAATGTTCTTGGCCAGTCTTCTCTTTTCAACGATATTTGGACCGACAAAGCACCTGATATGACGTTCATGGTGAACGGGCACGCGTACAAATACAGTTACTACCTTGGTGATGAGATATACCCGGATTATTCTACATTGATGAAGGCATACTTGGTTCCTCGAAGTGAAAAGGCAAAGTTGTTTACAAAAAAATAGGAATCGGTGAGAAAGGATATCAAGAGGTCATTTGGAGTCCTTAAGCAGACATGACATGTAATGAAATATGCTACACGACTCTGGGATAAAGAAAGAATTAAACGAATGGACCTAGCATGTATTATAATGCATAATATGATTATTGAAGATGAAGGTCGAGCGATTTGCACGTATGATCCGAACGACGTTGTCATTCCAATTGAGGAGTTCGTACCCGGAACGAATGAGTTTTTAGAGCGAGTTGTTGAAATTCATAACAGTGAAACGTGTTTCAATCTTCGAGAAGATGTCGCGGAACATTTGTACCAACGTAACATGAACGAAAATTAGTTTTTTTTATATGTATGTTTGTTTGTTTTTTTAAATTAATGTAATGTTTTTTTTCCTAGATTAATTAAGTAATGTAGTTTGAAGTTGTAATTTTATTTTTATAATTAATGAAAACATAGTTTAAAAAAATGAATGTTTTTTAATTATAAAAAATGTAACTTTATTGTATTTTTGAATTAAAAAAATAATAATGATGTGGAGTGATGTGTTAGTGGTAGGTATCTCATGTTAGTGGTAAGGGAATATGGTGCTGACGTGGCACCCACCACATATGTGGTATGTGGTGGGGTATAACAGATGATCTAAACGCATATGAAAAAAGTCAAATTTAGTAATAGAGGGTATTTAGCTGTTGTAACAGCCCCTACAACCTTTGAACAATAAGAAGGAAAGAAAACAGGTTCCTGTTGTTGCTGCAGCACACGATAATATAAGAGGAAAAAACAGATGGAGACTTTTGTTTATTCTGGACTCAACTTCACTATATTAATAAAAAACAATTGTCTATAAATAGCCTACAAAAAACCAACGGGAATAAACAACCTAAAGCCTAAAAACTAGCCATTACTCCTAAAGAAAAGCACCCTATAGTGACCAAGTATATCCACACGTTTTCTCTATATTTGAACTTGGTCAAAGCTATTTTATTCAAACATTAAACAAACAATCAAATACTACCCATACCCATAACTTCAATAAACCCATGACCCATGTCAAGATTACCCAACATTAGCATCCTAGTTTTATTTAAATGAAAAAAATGTTATATTAAAAAAACACAACAAAAAGAACCTAACCCTTAATTTAATATGAGGTAAAAACAAACAATATGTATACATCACTCGCTTTATTTGCATTCTTGTTCTGGAGTTAGGTATTCGAAAGGGGGCAAGTATTTCCCACTTGTGTCTCTAATGAGGTAAAATGGATCAAGTATGAATGCACGTGCCCAAGCAGGGTGATAGTTCTTGAATCAAGCTTCATAGAAAGAAAATTGAATCAAACTTCTTGAATCAAAATTCATATAAGATATGAAAGATTTGAGCTTACAATGAAGGATGAAAATATGTGTGCTACACCAAATACAAGCTCTCCCTCATCAGTAGCAGGTCCAAGGGTAACACTGTAAGTAGACTCTTAAACATGTCATAAATTACTAGATTTAGAACCCACAAAATTGAGATTGACAATTAGAGCAACCATAAGAAGTTAACACATCCACAATAGCATGTTCTTGGTATATTATTTATTACACAAACCTTGTGTGTATGTCAAGACTAAAATACCTACGTTCTAGCAGTATACATTAATGCCCTTAAACAAATTGGTGATAGAGATGTAGTCAAAATCACAATTCGCTAGATGTCAAATAGAAGAATACAATATTTACCAAACAAAATTTAACAAAACCCAATGCAACCACAACAATTTCTTCTTGCGAGATTAACACCATTTTTCATGACATGATTAACAACAAACAATTGTATTTTAGAAGGCATGCCAATTACAATATTAAGAAAATATCTCACATCATCGTCAATAATTTGCATAACTAAAAAAAAAAAAAAAAAAAAAAAACCAATTGTAAATATTGATATGTCGTCAAACTTGAAAAACTACTAGGATTTATGATATTGTTTGCAATTCTCCCAGTAAATATAATAAAAGTAGAAGCTACATCGATCCTAAAGTCAAATTTTATGGACCTTTACGTCAACCTGAGAAAAATTATGGAGTGGGATGTAAATATGTGCTTCAACGGCTAGACCGGACTCTTCGTTTAATCCGTTCATCATATCTGCAATCTGTTACACGTATAAGCCCTATATAACAAAATCATCATTTCCATCATTAATATAATCATTGTGTAGTCAACTGAATTTAATCACAGTCTCTTCTTGCTCCAATGGCGTCCCTCGGATCATCAATTAATATGCCGACGAAGGTAATCAAACTCCATATTATATCTTCTGTATGTTAGGAATCTTCTTCTGTTATTATAGTAAATTTAGCATCTTCTCCGATCCCATGTTCTTCACCTTTGATCTGAACTGATTTTATGATATTGTTTTACTAATATATACTACTGCAGGCTGGTTTGAGATTGCTTCTTGTTCCCCTTAATTCCAATATTGTAATCAAAACAGCATGGTAATAAGCTTTCAAATAATGAGGCTCTATATATAATATATTATCATTCATTAAAATCTGATGATTAATTATTGTTTGTGCAGCTGCACTGTGGGGGTTGCATTACCAGTTTACTCCACATTCAAAGCAATAGAAGCCAAAGATCCAAATGAGCAACACAAGTGGCTTTTATACTGGGCAGGTAATTAGTGAATGCTATATTCGTACTCTTTAATTTTGATTTGATGAACTGTTGCTATTTAGTATTTACATGTATATATAAGTTTTGCAGTTTATGGGTCTTTTAGTGTTGGAGAGATATTTGCAGACAGATTCATATCCTGGTATTTATTATCTTCAAACAGAAAAACCTTTTTTTTTCTTTCTTTTGGTATAACTATTAGCATTCTCAAGTCTCCATGAATCTCAAGAAAGTCTTTTTGTTTACTTTTTTCAGGTTTCCACTTTATTATCACATCAAGTTTGCTTTTCTTGCATGGCTCCAGCTTCCCACCACAAGTGTAAACAAACTTTTTATAATTTTATTTGTTATCCCTTTTCTTTTATTCTCCATTTCAACCAGCTAATGTCTGATTCTCATTCTATTATTAATATAGTATGTCTCTTTTAGTTCCACATGTTAATTGTTTTGCTGTTTTTCAGGGGGCTAAGCAATTATACATGAACCATTTGCTTCCTTTCTTATCGAGACATGAAGCTAGGCTTGATCAAATTGCGGGGTTGTTTTACAACAAAATTGTAATTAAACATCTTCACATTTTATTTGTTTCCTAATCAACTGATTCATGTAGTTTAGTTTTTTAAAAGTCATCAAAGTTAATCCGACAAGTTCTAAAAACATGGTGTTTGCTCAAACTCACTATGCCTCAAAACAACGGTTTTATTTGGGCGAAATACTGAAAAGAACAATGTAGTTTCTCCTTTTATGATTTAGCCACTTGACTGTTTTCTGTATTAATGATTATACCATTATATTGATTTAGTCATTGAATGATTATATATGAAAACAATTTCAGGATAAATTCATCAGTGCTCATCAAGGCGAGTTTGAATTCATGAAGACTAAAATTATTAAGATTCTGATGTCAGGTATATCTTCTTATGCTTTTGCTTGTTTGTTATATAAATGATTGTCTTTCTAAAAAATCATAGTTGGTTTCTTGTTGCAAACTCATTGTCATTAGAAAAAAAAAAGTCACTTAGGGTATGTTTGGTTGGATGGAATGGAATGACAAAGTAATGGAATGGAATAAGCAAGATAATGAAATGAGTCATTACATTCCATCACCGTATATGGTTATCCTGTAGCATTGGAATCAATTTTAATAAAAAATATATTTTCTAGTTAACTAGTTAATTTTAAAAAATAAATTGTTATTTACATATTATTATATGACAGAATTAAAAAAAATAGCCCCTGACTAAGGAATGGAAATTAACAAAATGAAACGGAATTCCATTCCATTCTCCATCAGCCAAACATCTTTTCCAATAATATCCATTCAATGGAATAAATTAAGCGTTCCATTCTTTTTCTGATTTCATTAGTTTTTCATCAGGGAAGCAGTTGGTCAACGGTAGCAGTCAACCTGTTGCAACACAAGAGATAAGAGCAATTGTGGACCCACGTGAACAGGTGGAAACCTCTGATTCGACTGATGAAATTAAATGATGATGATGATAATAATGATGATGAGGACGCATCTATCCTGCAGCATCCTTAGGCTTCTAGTTCTACCTCATGCTTAAAAAAACATTGTCTGTATTTTTAAACTCCTTATTAGAGTTTTCATCCCTCCTTCCTACAATATTGCGACTGTTGTCTACAATGCATTTCTAGGAGCTCTTTGATTTATTAAAATAGTTGTTTCAGGGTATATTCTACTACATTTGATATGACTAGGACCGAGATTACATTTAATATTATTAAAAAAAAAAACAAGAAAAAAATGTTAAAAGAAAAGCATTTAGTCATTTTACATGGGTTCAATAAAAACATAGAGACATTCTCCCTAACAAATGACAAACATAGGCACCATATGGTTAGATTTTTTTTACAACTCCATGGACCATTTATGTTATTTACTCTCTAGAAAAAAATCTTGTCCTATATTTAAAAAAATACCCAAATAAATAGTAAAAAAATACCCATATGGTCCCTATATTTTCCTTTGGGGTAGATTACAAAAAATCAATGTTCTATATAATGCAAGACGTAACTTGGCGGCAATGTCAAGCCTCAAGCTTTTTTTAGTCGTTGCGAGCCACGTCGTTTGTAAAGCGTGATTTAAGGCGACAATTTTATATATATATATATATATATATATATATATATATATATATATATTATACTATTATTCATTTTTATATACATATGTGACTTAAGACGACATTTTGTCGAAGCTTGACGGCAAGTACAAGTCTTGGAGTCATGGGGCGTCATGACGAGCTTTTTAGAACATTGCAAAAAACAGACAATAAAATGACATTTTCCAAATATATACATGGATTCCGCAGAGCTACCTTCGAGGGCTCCGCGAAATTAACTTATACTCCGAGGAATGAAGAACAATTCCTCCGAGGAATCGATGTGGCAAAAAAAAATGACGGATCGATTCCTCGGAGGCGGAGCAAAAGTTCATTCCTCGTAGGTAGCTCCATGGAATTGTTCTTCAGATTTTTCAACAAATTTAAACTTTTCAAAACAACCCATTTACTAATAAAAGTGTTTAAAAAATTAGTATTTCCAAAACATTATTTAAAATCAGAGCCTCCCAAGATCCATTCAGTCGTAAAACCAAGGATGTGTACGGTCATGCCATCGCCTTGCCACTATCCTCCGAGGTACCTGAAGCCATAAACCAAATTGTAATCACGAAGCTTAGTGGGTTTCCCCCAAAATACCACCACACAATAGATAATGACAACTAGCATGCTCAAACACTCATGCCTGGCCCAATCATCCTCGGGTTGGAATACCAGACATGTCTACGATGGGCCCACTCATCCTCGGGATGGAATACCCTCACACCCTAAGCAGTTTGGCCTAATCAATTATCGGACTGGAATACCAAACATGTCGGGTCCAATCAACCATCAGGTTGGGATACCCCATGTCTATTGACTGACGCACAGAGCAGTCCAGCCTCACCACATACCATACTATCATATCGGGTCCAATCAACCATCGGGTTGAAATGCCAATATACAACGGGTCCAGTCATCCTCGGGATGGAATACCCTCGAACCCAATCAACCATCGGGTTGGAATGCCCCGGTCTGTTGGCTCATGCACATAGCGGTAAAACCTCAACCACCAATAATATGTGCCCATATATAACAGATAAACATATAAACAGTCTACAGGAAGACAGACATATCTATAGATCACTAAGCATAGCATCATCCTATATACCAGGATACCGATCTAACAGATCACTATAGCACGATAGTATGCATAACAGGATGTCAATACAATGGGCCGACATTGGTGCCTTCGACCCACAAGTACAATAAGGAAAACTCACCTTGCACTGCTGAATCTCACAAAAAGAATCTCTGGCTGCTGGCCCATAAGAATCCCTGCACTATCAATCACAAGTTAATCATCCATCAATAATCGGATCCGACCCACACTAAGTGTCCAAACTAGGGTAAAGACCTTTTTATCCTCTTCATAACTTGGCCCAAAGCCAAGGCCCAATCCAGAAATCCAAAATCCCATTAAATACCCAAGGCCCAAATATGGCCTAATTTTCCAAATTGGGCCCAAACCCTATCATGGGCCTTAACCAAGGTCCAAAACATTCCTAGTCCAAAAACACTTGAATTCTGATGGCCCAACAAGGCCCAAAGCTCCAAAGTTCAAAAATGGCCCAAACCGAAGATCCATTAATCTGAGGCCCAACCTGCTGAGTACACGGGGCGTACTCAGCTTGTACAGGCAACATACTTGCCTTAGGGCTTGTACGCTAAGCGTACTTGCTTGTACGCCTAGCTGTCACACCCCCGAACCAGACGGCGGAAACTTCCGGGGGCTCGTGTGACTAACAATTAAATAATCATCACCATGAATATACATGAATCATAACACGATCATCACCAACATTACATAATACAACTGGCATTGTTTACATCAAGTACATTGCTAAAATACATAAGTTCTAATTGTTAAAAGTACGATAAGTGCTATTACATAAAACGAAACCATACACACTTGCATATATTCCAGCTTAACGATTACCTGAGAATATAAGTTATTTTGAAAACGGTCAACATATATAATGTTGGTGAGTTCATAAGTAGGTTTGAGTAAAAGTCTTTGTATCTTTCATAAAAACCCAGAAAATCCGATATTTTCTGTAAAATGTCTGAAAATGTTGTGAAAATCAAGTATAATGCATGTGTGAATTTCATAGCTATAGTTTATAAAAGAGTAGTTTAGTTTCATTGTATTGTGAATAAATGATAAATGTATATGAATAATTTCCCCCAGAAAATCCGATATTTTCTGTTTTATAACAATGTCTAAATTCTTATATCGTTAAATAAGTTGTTTTATATTGACACAATCGAAGAGTTTATCTTCGAAAGTTTACTTTTGGTATTGAATCCCTATATGAGCCGTTATAACCATGCATGATAATGACTAGGTGGCCCGTCTTGGTATTTTTCCAAATGCCGGTCTTGCTAAGGATGTTGTCGCCCTAGACTGGCCTAGTCTAGCTGTAGCGAACAACTAAGGCGTGAGGGGTCACCCCGTATAGATCTATACATAAACTCCCGCTTTCCTACCAGGAAACTATGATTATAACTACAAGCTATGATTGTACACTCAGTGGTGCCAACCGACAAGTCTCACTAGATTCACAACCTCTTTTTGTACTATGTTTAATGTTTACGTATATGTGAGATGTTTTTGGTATTCGAAAGGTACATGATTCAGTTTACGAAGTTTAATGATTACATAAGGGTATCGTTATGGCTTACTAACACATGAAATTTCCATTCCAAGCCCTATTAGTATGTAATTAGCCCACAAAGGCCCAATCACATGTAAAAGGGTAATTTAAGCCCAATAGGCATGTAAATGGGCCACAAAAGTCCAATAAACATGTAATCCATAACTTAGGCCGAAATTAACATGTAAGTGGGCCATAAAGCCCAATAAACATGTCATGGAAAACATTGGGCTCATTTCACACTTAATTGGGCCCTTAGGGCCCAATGGCCAAGAAATGTGAATATTTGGCCCAATAAATAGTTTTTGACGTATTTTGTTCGTTCGTTTGATTCGGTTGTTTGTTTTAGTTCGAGACTTAATAGATTGATGATAAAAAAGCTTTCATTTTGTAAAAATGACATTTTTGGCCAATAATACTCCAATCTTTAATTAAGGCCCAAAGTTTTGTAAAAATGACACTTTAGTCCATAATTTATAAAAATTTGTAATTTTGTCCCAAATGTCTAGAAACTTACGGTTTTAACCCAAAATGTTATGTTTTTACATTTAGCACCCTGTTTCGCAGAAAAATACATTTTCAGCCCCTTGTTTGTAAAAGTTTACACTTTCGGCCCAATTTTTGGAAAACTTTACATTTTTGGTCCAATTTGAAAATAAATGATATTTTCACCTCTAAATTTGGTTTATTTACATTTATGACTCAAACCTTGGCCAAATAACATTTTTAAACCTTAAAACTTCATTTTTTTCGCAAATTGGGCCCAAAGGCCGTGAGGCCCAAAAGTTTGGCCGAATAAGCTTAAATTTGCATTTTTGACCCTTTTTAAAATATGTTTAGCATAAAAATACCTTTTTATACATGTAGGACCTGTTTGGCCCTTTTAAAAACAAAATTTTCACTTTTTACCCTTATCTTTTGTTTTCTTGACATCTTTGACCTTTAACAAGGTTTTTGTTGAATTCTTTTGCATCTTAAACGTGTGTTCACTTTTGGATTGATAATATGATGTATATAGTGTTGTAGTTCTTAGATCTTTGCTACATAATACTTAAAATTTCGAGATTCACTAAGATCTAACACATTTTTACCAAATAAACTAAGAATTCACACAAAACATGCATATAACACATAGATCTACACATTTTACTTGAATTCTCCCCCAAAAATCATATGAAAACCGAAAATAAAGGGGGTATGAAGTCACCTTTGCTTGATGTTTCGGTTTTTGGAAGAAGAAGTGGAAAGATGAAGTGATTTTCGGCCCTAGCAACTTCCTTGAGTAGATCTCGAACTTAAGAAGATTTCTAGGAGTATGATCACCAAAAACTTTGTTTAAAAGAGTGATCTATCATGAAGTTGGAGTTATAAAACTTGAGTTTGTAAAGGCTTACCAAGAATGATGATTATCTTGTGAAAATCCTCTTGAAACCTAAGCTAAATCTTGAGAATTTTGGAGGAAGAAGATGGATGATCCTTGAGAGAATGGAGAGAATTTGGTGTAGTGTGTGTGTGTGTGTTACATTCGGCCGAGAAGAAGGAGGGGAGAGAGAGAGATGAAGTGACTAGTATGGATACATGTTGGTCCTTGCATGGATATATGATGTATAAAATGGAGGTGGCACCTCCCAAAGTCAACCCTCCCCATTTCACTTCTTTTCCTTTTTTTTTGTTTTATACATGGGCCGAGATTTTGGGCCAAGAAGAAAGG